AGACACATATCACGCAGCGAGTCTGACCTAACAGGTGAAGAAGCTCTTGTAGGAAGTAGGAACCTTAAAGGTTGATTTATTGAAATATATGCTCTTTTGAGCTGGAGCCCACTTTGTCAGATGCATGAAGTGACTTTCAGCCTGTGGGATACAGAAATATAAATACAAGAGATGAAAATGTGAGCGTTGGGTTTAAAAGGCTGTAAAATGGCAGAGGTATAATTCATGACGTTACTATATTAAACTCTAGCATGGGATTCCCCTGCTTGGAGCCCGTGGGCACCATGGCATGTAGTGACACCTTTCCTGCCACTTGCCAAGTGTTTTCAGAAAGTGTGGAGTGCCAGGTGGGACGTCTGTCCAGCAGGGCTTCTGATTGGTCGCTGGATCTGATTGGCTGTGCAGTTTTGTCAAAAAAAGTAGTTTCACTGGCAGTTGCCACCGCAGTGTTGGCTTTATTCTCTCACTCCTCTTTCACAGTGTATTTTTTAAAATCACCATTCTTCTCCCCTGCACTTGGGCTGCTTCTTCCGTGTGCGTGTGGCTCTGTCCCTGTGACAGAGTCCCAAGGTTCCCATGGGCTCTGGAAGGCTGAGGACTCCTCTTGTAGTATGGGAGTGGGATACCATTTTTGAATGCTTTTCTTGTATTAAAAACGCCTTGCAGGTAGAAAACTAGTACCTCAGGGAGAAAGGTTCTGATACAGCCCTTTCCCTGCTGTGCTGCAGTTCTGTTTGCAGCGCATTTGTTGTTCTACATAGTATTTGCAGACCCAGTCCCCATTGATACATTCTGAAGTGAGACCAGTCTGTGTTGCCACCTCAGGATTTTACCTCCTCATTCTGCCATATGTGTGAATCCAGTTTGAGCAGTGGTGGGTAGCTGTGTTGTTCTGCAGTACAAGAGCAGGATTTGAATCTGGATCCACAAGGCTCCTGGGGTATAAGCTTTCAAGAGTCAAAGCTGTCAAAGGGTGTTTGATGAAGGATGCTTTGACTCTTGAAAGCTTACCATGGAAATCTTCAGGCGTGTAGCCGTATTGGTCGGAAGCAACAGAACAAAGTTTGAGTCCAGTGGCACCTTTAAGATCAACAAAGTTTAATTTGGGGGTATAAGCTTTAGTGTGCATGCACACTTCATCAGATACATTGAAACAGTTTTCTTCAAGTCACTCGAGGGAAGCTGGTTCCGTGTATCTTATGAAGGGTGCGTGCACACAAACGCTTATACCCCAAAATTAAACTTTGTTGGTCTTAAAGGTGCCACTGGACTCAGATTTTGTTCCCTGGAAATTTTATTTGTCTTTAAGGCACGCTAGTGGACTTCAGTCTTGCTCATATAAAAGCCAATGCCATTAAGAAGCCAAGCTGCATTAAAATCCCAGTGTGGAAAAGCCTGTTGTTTTAGACTTGTAGCAAGATAAATTTTAAAGAACACCTATTTTCTGGAGCAAAGACTATTTCCTTGCAGGATTGTTTATACTAGAGACTTATAAATCTGCTTTACTTCAAAACTACATTGGTGTTTGTTCTTAGTCTCTCTTCTCTGGATTTTTTACCCCAACTATTAGACTGTTGGTGGAGTAAAAGAAATACGGTTACAATCTTTCACAGAAGTTAATGGTTACATTAAACATCTATAAACAAATATTTGGTTTGCTTGCACAATATGCAGTGATCATGAGTTTCCAGCTGTTATTGCAATGGGCTCTTTCAGTATAACCTGTTTGGGCTTACTTGCAGGCATTGGTCTTTGTTTCAGAAAAAAAAAATAATTGCTTCTCAGAATGTCTTCTGGGTCTGCCTCACATGTGTTTTTTTCTCCATAATCTCAGTGTAGAAGAAAACGTGTAAAATGGAAGAGCACTTTTCATCCATCAAGTCCCTGGTTCAATCTCTAGTATCTCTAGTTTTGTGGTCCCCAACCTTTTTGATATGGTGACCCACAAGTGTAAATTTACTTCATATAGTGACTCATCCAAGGGTGGCCCAAGGTTTTTGGCGCCCAAGGCAAACTATGTCCTTCGCAGCCATCTGTTCCAGTATTCTGTTTTCTATAATGCCAAACCAGATATTTCTGAGAAACCAACAAACATCACACGAAGGGTACACTATGAATCCCAAGCAAATGGTGTAGTACACAGGCTGTACATTTGGTGGTTACATTTGACCACCCTTGTCTGCTCCGTCACTCCCCCTGATCCCCCCCCCAAGAGTCACAGAAACTCATTCTAGTAACCAACGCCAATCCAGGGAAGAAAAAAATACCAACTAATGTACGACATGGAAGATACTGTTTCCAGGATCAGGTCCCAAATATAGGTCAAAGTCTCCTTTGACAGCTGGGCTGGAGCCAAAGTCTGATGAGGTGCACTGGGGTGGTTGGTGCTGGCTTGAGAAGTGGGGAAGTGGCGGATATCGGCAGCAAAGGGCTCAGTGCAGGACACCTCCCACAGCAGGCAGAGGGCAGTGAGGCATGGCAGAGGGCCGAGCAAGAAGTTGGGCTGCAGCACCAAGACAGAACCCATGGACACACGTGTCTTTCTTCTCTCTGGTTTTCCCATGGCATGCGAAACAGCTCCTGCCCACTGTCAAGCCTTTCCCCCCTTCTTCAAGTAACAACTGTGAAGTTACTAGTTGCCAGGCAGCTTTTCCCCCTGGTTACTGTCAGAAATGGAGCTGCGGTGGCTCAGGTGGTTAAGACACTGAACTGCAGGCTGTGGAAGGTCAGTAGTTCAGCAGTTCGAGACCCGGGCGCCGCATGATGGAGTGAGCTCCCATCTCTAGTTCCAGCTCCTGCCAACCTAGCCGTTCGAAAGCAAGAAATTGCAAGTAGATAAATAGGGACCACTTCGGTGGGAAGGTAACAGTGTTCCGTGTGCCTTGGTGTTTAGTCATGCCGGCCACATGACCACGGTAATGTCTTTGGACAGCGCTGGCTCTTTGGCTTTGAAACAGAGATGAGCACCGCAACCCTAGAGTCGGACTCGACTGGCTTTCGAGCAAGGGAACCTTTACTTTCAGAAAGGGGGAGGTGAGAATGAGAGAAGCTGGCAAGGAAGAAGAGCGAGAAAAGAATGTCAAGGGCAGAAGCAGCCATTGGGGGTGGCTAGCTTGCGAACCAAGTTCCAAGGCTTCGCAAACCTTTTCTGGGTCCCAACCCACAGGTTGGAAAACACTGCTCTGGTTGAAGGAACTCAAATTGCAGGTGGAGGGAAAGATCTTTCTCTGCCAACACCCCGAAGAAGAACAGCTGCCAGCCATGATAGGCATTACTGAGCTGGATAGAGTAGTGGTCTGAAGCTGTGTGGTATGAGGCAGGTTCATATGCTTGATCAGTTCACTGGCGTGTGTGGTCACAGCAGAAAAAGAAGCTTGCCTGTTCTTCACATATGACAGTATATACATTTCATAGATTTTCACCCCAGTGCAAAGATTATCTCCATGCAGGAGAGATATTATGTCTGAGGCAGCTTTAAATTAATCTTTGTTGGCTTCATTTCTAGTTGTATAGCTCCTTTGAGCATGTCGTTTTTTATAAAAGACCCTCAAGTATTCCGTGTACTTTGTGTGATTGAGTTTCTTTTCTGCTTAAGTAAATATGGATATTTTATAGGCTGCTTTCTTTCTCGATTTCTGAAGTTTTTTGTTTTAAAAAGTCATGAGTAGCCTTGAGGTGAAACATTGTCATATTGGGGGGAAAAAACTTTGAAAAGTTAGTAATTTCACAGATCTCAGGCATGACTTGGCCAAAAGAGAACATGTCTTAAGTCCCTTAGTTATTCAGTGGCAGATTTTAAAACACATGCCTAACTTTGCCATTGGAATTCATGGGATAAATGCTTAACTTTGGCTGGCTTGTGACCAGCGTTTTCTTCCACGTCAGGCACCTTAAAATATAATAATTTTTTTTAAAATCCTGTATAATTGAGCCAGTAGTTATACAACCCAAATTACATTAATGATAAAGGAAATCTGCTTGTAGTTTCAAATGCAGCATTTCAACACAATCATTTTATTAAATATGAACTAACTTTTTAATCAAGTGGATTCTTTAAAAGATGAGTAAAATTGTATATCTAGCATTTCTATAACACCAGTGTCCATTAGTTCAAAATTAAGAAATGAGCAGTCCATGGATATGTACATTATTACTTACGCCGTGGTTAGAATCCAAGAACCTCAGGGCCCAAGCACTGGTGGGGGGGAGGTGTAGCTTATTTGTTCTTGTCTCAGACAGTAGACATTTAGAAAAGAAACACACGTACTATTGCAAAATGTCTCATCCGGGCTCTCACTAAAGCATAGCTGGGTTCTCGTTACTGCTTTTCTACAGTGAATTGAGTTGTCCATATTTTTGTGTTTTCCCCCTGCTTCCATAACAACAAATCTCCTGATGTCTCTAGGCCCCAAAGTTTTGTCTCCACAAGACAACCAGAGCAGTTTAGTTCAGTAGCTTCTGTGGATGGACCAACTAAAAGCATGGTCTTTTGTGTTAAAATGTGTGTATAAACCATGAAAGCTTAAATTCTTAAATTATCCTTATACATTACAGTTAAATCATCTCTTGCTGTGGCTTCATTAAAATGTTACTGTACTTTAATCCAATAACTTCTGTGATTAACATAACAAAATCTGCATATAAAATGGTTACATTAAAATATATTGAGGGGCAGATTGGATAACACATCCTTAGATTGATCTACGCTTGGGAGCAAAAGTAATTCTTCCCTTCCCACTTAACTGGCATGCCTGCCCTGTCTCCAATGGGGAATAAATCATGGACTATGGCTTTGCGTATGTCCTTGTCTGTACCCTGCATGAATGCAATGTATGGACATCTGGTAGCATCTGGTGTTGGGCAGGCATGTCAGGTGGGCAGAGAAGGAACAGGCTCCTCTTCTACCCATCAGACGTAGAGAAGTGCTTAGGAAGCATATTGGCTGACCTGGCCCTTTGTTGGTGCCTAAATGTGCTTTCCATTAGGATACATCTCCGTTTTTAATTCTTGCTGGGGTTGGCAACTCTACCCATGAAAAGCAAGCAGCTGGTGCGGTGCTCATAGATGAGAAATAAAAAGGGACGATCAACAGTAAAGTGAATCTGAGCTGAAAGGGGCATGAAGCCCACACTAGTCACAAATGCAGCCTCCGTGCCTTCTTCGTTCACTGTAAGAGTCCCTTGGTGATTAAACTGCCAACAGAAGAGCAAAATTAGAGTATTATCATTCAGACAAAACACAGTTATGTCTTGGTTAACTTAACTATACATCAGTGAAGAACTGGAACCTAAATGCCACTATTACTTATTACACACTTTGAAAATGTTAATGGCACTTCACATTATTTTGTTATCCGCAGAGGTCATTTTGGGGGGGGAACGCGGGGGATTGCAGTCCCCCCGGGTGAGGTAGGGGGGGCGGGGCACATGACGAAGCCCCGCCCCCTGCTTCCGTCCGCCCCGCTTCTGGCCCTCATTCAGCCAGGAGGAGGCAGGAGAAGAGGGAGGGTAAGTTGCTTCCTCCCTGCCTCTCCCCACCCCTGCCTGCCTGGGGCCAGGGAGGCCTTTGCGGGGCTTCCTTGCACTCCCGCCGGCCTTGCAGGTCCACCGCCGGGCCCCTCATGGGGCTTGGCAGTGGAACTGCAAGGCCAGCGGTGGCGGCCGGGACCGTTGGGGGCGGGGTGTGTGGCCTTATGACACACTTCCGGTGATGTCAGGGGGTGTGGCATATGCTAATGAGTTATGCTAATGAGTTCCCCTAGCTCTTTTTCTACGAAATGACCCCTGGTTATCTGTATAACTACCCGGTTGCTACTGGTTATCTTCCTGATGGAAAGGGACTTACTTAAGGCTACCTGGTGAGTCTGTGGTGAAAGAGGGGAGGTGGCTTCTTGATTGTAGCTCAGGCTATTTCGACATGTGGTTTGCAACTGATTCAATGTTGTTGGCAGGTAGGATTTTTTTTAACTGCTTCCTTACAGCACTGTGGTGCCTCCTGCATTGCCTGTATTTTTCTTGACTTTCCTGCAGTGTTTCCCAAGCATTCTTTGCTATGAAATTTTGGGAAGGATCACAGAAAATCCAGGCTGGTTGCTGTGTGGACAGGGAAGTCTGGATTTTCCCAGTCCTGCCCTACATAGCAGCCATTTTAGTCCCTGTGGCAGGCACTCCCCCCATCTCACTAGGGGCCTTTTTGAAAGGATTTTTAAAAAATCAACAGTTGGCATATTAGTATGTACATTATCAGGATTATGTTACACAGTTGACCGGTATCAATAGGAAGCAGCAACACAAGTAAGTTGCATGTGTTGTGCAAAACCGGGGGGCGGGGGGGGGGACATTTCAATTTGCCCCAGATTTACTTACCCTATCAATGATGATCCCCTCTGCTATTCCAGAATAATTGCCATTTTGGGTGAAAATCTCATTTATTCCCAGCGTTTTTAGATGCTCTATCAGGTCGTAGCTCTTCTGCAGGGTAAATTTAGGCAGCACAACTTCCCTTGTTCTAGGCAGAACAAAATAACAGCGGTTAAGTAGAGGCTTTTACTGAGCCCAGACTGCAGATCTAAAACTACTTTTATGATTTCTGTAGTCCATTTCAGTCTTTCAGTGCTGTTGATAGCATTTGTTTTCCTCTACCATCTACATTTGGAGTCTGCACTCTGTTTAAATGCTAGTAGCTGTTCTTAAAAGCCCTTTGTTTTCTATCTGTGTTCTATTCCGTAATTCTTATTGAAAGGTAGATGACTTGCTGAATTTGGAATAGTTGAAGGAGTGAGTGAGTGAAATTCTAGTTCAGGTATACAAATATTTAACCCTGTGGAATAGTTGCAGTAACACACACACAAAACCTTTATTGGCGTGAAAGCACAAAACATCATGGAAATATGGGGAAATACTAAGATGCATTAGTCATTTACACTTGGCTATTCAAGTCTCGTCTTCTGATTGCATAATATAAAAATTTTGCAACAGCCTCCATTATTTTGCAATTAGAATTAAACAGAAGAAAGTGAACAATTGAGTCATCAGAGTGCCAGCTCTTACCCTCTAGAAATGGAGTAATAAAACGAGATCGGATATCCCTATAAAGGGGGCAATGAAGTATGGTGTGTGTAAAAAGGTAAAGGTTCCCTTGCTCGAAAGCCAGTCAAATCCGACTCTAGGGTTGTGGTGCTCATCTCCGTTTCAAAGCCGAAGAGCCAAAGATGTTTCCGTGGTCATGTGGCCGGCATGACTAAACACCAAGGCGCACAGAACGCTGTTACCTTCCCACCGAAGTGGTCCCTATTTATCTACTTGCAATTTCTTGCTTTCGAACTGCTAGGTTGGCAGGAGCTGGAACTAGAGACTGATCAAGCATATGAACCTGCCTCATACCACACAACTTCAGACCACTACTCTATCCAGCTCAGTAATGCCTATCATGGCTGGCAGCTGTTCTTCTTCAGGGTCTTGGCAGAGAAAGATCTTTCCCTCCACCTGCAACTTGAGTTCCTTCAACCAGAGCAGTGTTTTCCAACCTTTGGGTTGGGACCCAGAAAAGGTTTGCGAAGCCTTGGAACTTGGTTCGCAAGCTAGCCACCCCCAATGGCTGCTTCTGCCCTTGACATTCTTTTCTCGCTCTTCTTCCTTGCCAGCTTCTCTCATTCTCACCTCCCCCTTTCTGAAAGTAAAGGTTCCCTTGCTCGAAAGCCAGTCGAGTCCGACTCTAGGGTTGCGGTGCTCATCTCTGTTTCAAAGCCAAAGAGCCAGCGCTGGCCAAAGATGTTTCCGTGGTCATGTGGCCGGCATGACTAAACACCAAGGCGCACAGAACGCTGTTACCTTCCCACCGAAGTGGTCCCTATTTATCTACTTGCAATTTCTTGCTTTCGAACTGCTAGTTTGGCAGGAGCTGGAACTAGAGACGGGAGCTCACTCCGTCCTGCGGCACCCGGGTCTCGAACTGCTGAACTACCGACCTTCCACAGCCTGCAGTTCAGAATCTTAACCACTTGAGCCAGCGCAGCTCCTATGGTGTGTGTAGTGGATTTTATATCTTTTAGAGAGCAAGGACAAAGTCTGTCTACATATGGTATCTGGCGGCACCTCCCTAAAAGCACCTCTGATGGCAGAACATTAAAGTGTGCAAGCATGTATGCTCTGCGATGATGTGGGGCTGTTAAACTTGACAGATACTTCGCAGTAGAGCCTGTGGAATAGTTGATTTGGAATAGCCTAATAGTTGATTTGGAATAGTTTGGAATAGTAATTTGGAATAGTTGAAGGATAAATGACAAGAAGGGAAGGGAAAGATTTTTTTTTTAACCTTACAGAGGATGAGAATGTAAAAGCTCTTCTTAGTTCCCCTGGATTTTATTTTTTTTGATCCGTCACACTGTTTATGTGCTTTCCCCCCCAGGCATCTTATATGCAAAGGCAACAAGTAAACACTTTCAAATAAATAATAACCATAAGGGCTAGAAGAATATTTTTCCTTAAAGAGAGGGTTGAGATTTTTAGAAATTAAAGTTTCACACCAGTCCCAAGTTTTCACTTGTGGCAAGACACAGACAAATGTACACCCCATGGCTGTTGTAACATTCTAATGCAACAATAGGCTCTGTTTTTAAAAGGGAACCGCTCTCTGTTGTTAAAAGGGGACCGCTCTTGCAGAATTTGGGGGTCATAAAAAACCCACAGCCGCGGGTTACCTGTTAGTCATGCTCTTCTGCCACCTCTCCACCACCTGTGGTGTCAGTTGCTTCTCCAGTGTGTTCATGCCTGACGGCTTGTGGGGCAGGACAATCAGCATGCTGATATTGCCCACATAGGGCAACTGGAGAATCCCGCATTGAAGCTCATCATCTGTAGCTGCCAGGAAGCTTGCTTTGGTCTTCATCATGGGAACTTTCACAGACAGTTTATCATTCACTCGGAACGAGCGCTTGTGTGTCATTTCCACTGGAAACTTATTTTTCCAGGTACCTGTCAACATAGCAAAAAACCCCATTATATAAATTACAGATGAGGAAGGGAAGGTGTGACTGTACAACTGTCTGTAGCTCTAGGAGTTTGTGTATAAGAAGCGGATATATTTTTGCAGTCCTTGCTTTTCTTCAGAGAGATGACATGTTCCTTATAAAAACAATTAAGCAAAAATTAGAAATTGTATCTAAACAGAGCGTATTACTTGGAGGTTTTCTAAATAATCCATGGAGAAGGGCGCTCACCAAGATTAAACAAAGGTTGAGCAAAGGTCAGATTGTTCTAACTGCAATTAAAATTATGCACTTTTATGCAGATGGGCAAAATATTTTCTTGAGCATTTGACAAGCAAGCAAAAAGGAAGGGGACTTCTAATTCACTGAAGGCTAGAAATATATTTTTAAAGTCTTAATGACATATAATGGTAGAGATTAGTCAGTATCAGTGTTCCCTCTAAGCTGAGTTAGTGTGAGCTAGCTCACAGTTTTTTAACCTCCAGCTCACAGATTTTTGCCTCAGCTCAGGAAGGATGGCTCCAGAGCAAACTAAGTTATGCAGCAGCCAACTCACTCGCTCCCAGCTTTAACGCCAGTAGCTCACAAAGCAGAATTTTTGCTCACAAGACTCCACTGCTTAGAAGGAGCATTGGTCAGTATATTCTGGCAAAGGTTCTAGAAATATGTGTGTCCTTCAGCCTCTGCATATAAATAAGAAGGTTCTTTACCGTTGGAACTTAGTAGAAAATGTAGGCTGGAGAGAATACACTCGGAGGCTGCTCAAGATGAGTTTTGCTACTGCTGTATGAATAAGCAGCAAGCGAGAGAATTTCCCAAAATGGACTCAGAGTAACTAATCCTTATGATAAAAAGAACAGATGATGTTCTCAAATGGGTTAAAGATCTCTAGGTATGTGAGTGAAATTCTAGTTCAGGTATACAAGTAATTAACCCTGTGGTTCAGTAATCACTTTGGCATTTGGACTTGTTCACGTGCATCTCCTAGATTCATGTCAGACTCTTAAATGTGCAATGCAACTCATACTAAATTAATGAAATGGTTCATATTCTAGTTGAGGAATATATATAAATTAAAAAAAAACATTTTTCTGTGCACTACTTCTATAAGCTCAAGTGTTTTGTCATTCTACCTAATTAATGAGAAAGGGAATGAATTTCAGTTTCAGGGGTTTTTTGTTTAGACTTGCATAGCTGGAACAGAAAATTCATGATTTTAATTTATTTTAGGTACTTTGTGTTTCACATTCAGTTATCGAAGTAGACGTTTCTGGTTAAAAAACAGTCACCATTCTCTTGGAATGCAAGTCTTTAGAAACCGTATCTCAAGCCTCAGTTTAATTCAATGAGTTTTTGCTCTATTCTCATTGTATAAAAGGAGTTTGTATTTAGGGGTCAAACTAAATGCTGAAGCATTATCAGTCCAAGTATCCTCTGTCCTGTTCTCTATCCTCCCCTGGACTCTTTTGTCCTTACCAAATTTCCATACCAAATTTCCATACCAAATTTTAAAGTATCTATCTAAAGGATAAAATTGTTGAAACTAGAATCATATGAAATAAACTAAGTAACAGTTTCTTGGCCATCTTCAGGATGATTACAACTTCCTCCTCCCCAGACCCCTTATCTACTGCTTCCTCTTCCCCTCCTAAAAGCTGCCATTATGCCTGACTTCCTCCTGCTTCTTCTCCTAGCTTCTTCCTCTATCCATTAAGTTATTTATTCATTTGAAGCATTTGCATGCGGCCTTTCCATCCCGCTTTAGGGTCCCCAAGATGGCCAAAAGAATCAAAAACTTTAAAACACGCTTTTGCAATACATACTATTTATTTTTGCCATCAAGTCACAACTGACTTATGGCAACGCTGTGGGGTTTTCAAGGCAAGAGATGTTCTGAAGTGATTTTCCATTACCTGCCTCTGTATCACAACCTTGGTATCCCCTGGCGGTCTCCCATCCAGTCACTAGCCATGACCGTCCCTGCTTAGCTTCTGAGAACTGATGAGATCAGGCTAGCCTAGGCTATTCAGGTCAGGGCAATACATGGTATAAAAACATTTTAAAATAACAATTAAAACAGATATACTGTTAAAACATACACAGGAAAGGGGTCAGTGAGGAAATACTAGAGAAAACCGATAAGTCTTCACCTGCTGGTGGAAGACAACGATAGAAGGATACAGAAGATCCCTTATGATTTCAGTCCCTCTGTTCCACCATTGCCTCCTTGAAATCCACCTCAAGTGCAAGAGGACCCTCTGGAGCAGCATTTCCATCTAGTAGGAGATGCCACAGCGAAACAGAAAAATTGGTGTGTCCTCCCCCCACCAGCACAAACAGAAATACTTTGGGGTTCTCTTGGGTTCAAGCCAATGGAATCAATAAACCTTGCCTTATTTTGAACTTCGAAGTATGAAGGCAAATATACCTGTGAAACCTTCTGTTTAAAAGTTATGATGGTGGCTGAAATAAGTAAGCCAAGTCCTGTAGTTTAAAACAAGGGACAGGAGATCTCTAACTGAGGCATACAATGAGAAACACCGTACTCACATTAAAAATAAAGAGTTCTGGATCTTTGGGTGAAATTAAGGCTATCTCGGGGAGGGGGAATCGCTGGAATCCAGAGGCGTGGGTTTTTTTTTAGAATATCTGTCTCCTGGGGGCATCTTTGTAAAGCTCAGGATATTCTTTTCATAGAACAGTCATGGTAAACTCCCTAACAATATCACAGGGCCTAGCCAGGATAACTTAAAGTATGCTTAGATGTTTCACTTCTCATTGTATATGTGAGGAGGACGACCTGCCCCATTTGGTTCAGTCTTGCAATACTCTGCAATAGAGATTAGCTTTGCTGACCATTTCCTGATTCTGGAATGAGTACCATGGCATTTGAGATGAGAAGCCATAAGTACATACACTGAATGCATGGCTGTGTCTTCTGATAACAGGCGATCTTTGTTGGTTTACATTAATAACAAATACTATATGCTTGAAGGGCAGAGTCTACTGGCTTTTTTGCTCAATCTCACCCAGTTCTTCTTCTCATTGTAGTTCCTGTCTTGTGTGGGTTTTGATCACGTGGGGCTTACAATTCCTAATATTGCCTTTTGGGGAGTATTCGAAAGGGTTCTTTCCTCCATCTTTCACCAATGGAAAAGGTGGTAGGATCCGAACCAGCAAAGCTGTCTTATACTGCCTGAGACCACTGCACCATTTACCTTCAGTCTTTCTATTCCAATGCAAGAGAGAGGGACTGTACCAACATCCAGCCATTTGAGATCTTTTTTTAATCTGGAGATGCCTGGGACCTTCCAAATGCAAAGCGTGGGCTCTGCCACAGGGCCACAGCCCCTCCCAAATGAATGCTGTAAGCGTAATGGCCTGTTTAAAGAGAGATGGGATTGTAGTTGTCTAAACCAAGGCCTGAACCTTGGTGTCCCACATAATTATCACTTTGTCATATGTTTGGGGGAAATTCTTTTGCTTCTTTACCTTTAAAGTAGAGGCAATTAAGAATCATCATCAGAGTTGTAGGGTTTACATGTTCCAGAGCTTCCTTTATTAATCCTTTGGTGAGCTTTGAAATACGCTCATTGGCTTTGGTGATGAAGGTTGGGTCTGAAAAGTCAGTTGATTGGGCTTCAGAAAAATAATATTTTTTCATGTTGCTTATGAATCCACTCTCAACGTGGAATTGTTTTTGAATGTAAAGGTCATTGACTGACCTGAGCGTGTAGCCAAAGTTCCTTCTGAAGAGCCGGTGAGTCAGTTTATAGAAGAGGTTGTGGATGGTTGTAACATTGTATGTTGAACTGGCATTAATAAAGTCTCTGAAACCCAGAGAAGTCAGTACTTCCTCGTGCGTTTGACCTCCCAATCCCAAAGAAAGCATGGCCATGGCAGTAGAAATGCCAACAGGCGCCAAGAGGATGTTATCTGAAGAGTTGGCTTTGTTCTTCAAACTTTGGTAAAGATCAAAGCCAAACTTTGCATTGAGAATGTTGAGACGCTGGATTCTGCTTTTCCCGGGGAAAAGCTCAAGAATATTCCCTTGTTTAATCTCAGGAGTAGTTTCTGGAACAGCATCAATTATATCAAAGTAGTCTTCACTGATTAGTTTCTCAAAATCAAGATAGTCATCTTCCTCTTCTTCGACACTCCAGTCATCCGTCAAAGTATTTTCCCTGTGAAATTCTGGTGAAAGATGGGTTCCACTAAGATGTTCAAAATGCTCCTGCAAGTCTTTAACCCCACACAGTGCAAGCGTTACAGTGAGAGTGAAGACGGAGAACCAAAACTGTAGCTTCATCTTGGTGGTCTGGAAATAGGAAAATTCAAAACATCACTATTAGACTTTCTGGAACCAAGGAAGGTTAGACATTTTCAGACCACGTACACGTAAACCTGCCTATCTGCTAGGGATCACAGGCACGTAGAACTCTGTCTGGTAGTGATCCCCAGCCCCTCTGAACAGGGGGGGATTTTAATTAATCACATTTATACCTCCTCTTCTATACCTTCTATCATGGAGCTCAAAATAGCATACCCAGCATTCCTGTTGGCTTCCTATTGAGCCATAGGCCAGAACTAGAAACCAGTGTAGCTTCAGCAGAATTGCTGTGCCCTCCAATATATTGATTTTCCCCCATTCATTTATTATAATTGAAGATCAGCCCACACCAATGTAAGAGCAAAACTTTAATGTATTTCCGCCTCCCTTTTTGTCCCAAATTGAGTCCACAAAGTAGCAATCTAACTGAAACCATAATATACCAATATACCAAATAAGATCATGCAGATTTACTTCTGTGTAAACATGCATAGGTTTGCTGTGAAAGTAGCCTTCTGCAATGAATCGTACTGAGAGGGGAGTCCATGAAGAGACTGAAGGTCTTTGTCGAAAGCAGAGCTCTTATCATTGTACCCATCCATTTCATATTAACTATTGTTCTAAGTATATTAATTCTGGTAATGGTCCTCACCTGGATGGCCCAGGCTAGCCCGATCTCATCAGATCTCAGAAGCTATGCAGGTTCAGCCCTGGTGAGTATTTGGATGGGAGACCACCAAGGAATACCAGGATCATGATGCAGAGGCAGGCCATGGCAAACCACTTCTGAACCTCTCTTGCCTTGAGAACTCTATGAGGTCTCCATAAGTCAGCTACAACTTGACGGCAACAACAACAACAATATGGACCCTCATTGCATTCATGGTGGCTTATATGGAGCTTTAGAAGATAGGCAGCCATGTGTGGTCACAAGAGTACATGCAATTTCTGTGGCGACAATGTCCTTTAGCTTTAATCTAACTGCCTAAATCACTTACTTCACTTATCCATTGGATCTGTGGGTTGGTGAGCACCTCCCTGGAATGCTGTACAGCATTCGAGGCTCCACCCCACCCCGCTGAATGCCATGTTCTCCTTGACATTTATTAATCATGCACCATCCTGCCTTTGTCCATATATCAACTATCTACAAGTCACCTTTCCACTTTGGCCCATACTGCGAGCTAAATTGATGCCTAAGAACATAAGAGACGCCAATGTTGGATCAGCCCAAAGGCCCATCCAGTCCAACACTCTGTGTCACACAGTGGCCAGAAATACCAGGTGCCATCAGGAGGTCCACCAGTGGGGCCAGAACATTAGAATCCCTCCCACTATTGACCCCCCCCCCAAGCACCAAGAAGACAGAGCATAACTTGCCCCAGAGCCCCTATTATACCTTGTGGCTAATAGCCACTGATGGACCTCTGCTCCATATGCTTATCTAATTCCCTTTTGAAGCCGTCCATGCTTGTAGCCGCCACCACTTCCTGTGGCAGTGGATGCCTGCGGCTTTCCATCCTTCCTGTCATATATCTGCTGCACCCTGGCTAGTTCGTTCTGTCTTGTTTTGCTCAGGAGGGATCCTTATTCTGCAGCCACTGGCAGCTAGTGGTGACATTTTGTTTATAAGCACTGGCATTCTTGGGCAGAATCAAGTCCTTAAATGTTTACACCATTCTGTCTTGTACCTTTGAAACAAAGAGCATTGTTTGCATGGACATGGAGGAAAATACTTTAGAAGCTTTCTCCTAGGCTACTGCTAATATTTAGTATTTTGATACTTGAAGTGTGCACATTGCTTGGGCAAATGTGTGCACCTCTTAGCTCAGTTCTTACTTGCCTTTTGATTGGCCCAATGGTTGGAGTGCTGTTCAGCCTTCAGATCAGCAGCACAGGGGTATTTATGTATATTGGGTACTCTCCCAATGTATACACTTTACTGTAATGAGCATCACACCCTTATTTTTACAGGAATTGTTTTGGGGTGTGGGGGAACAGCTCTCTCTTTCATTTGGGGAGATCACTGGGCCAAGAAGAATGAACTAACTTCTCAATATATAATATGAATGTGGTTGTCTCTTCCACCTGACTTTGTACTGATTGAAATTTACCCCGGGAAGTCATGTATAGATATAGATATAAAGGAAGCTTTATTTTGTTATTTATTTATTGAATGTATGAATCACCCCATCCCTGCTACCGCAGGGCTCTGGACAATGTACAGTAACGTTAAAAACTATGACCAGATAAAAACAATAGATCATATTAGAATACATTTTAAAAGACAGATGGCAAATACTAGTACTTTTTAATTGTTCCCATATTAGAGACTGCTGGCCACTTTGTGGGCAGGGGGGGAAGAGGTCGAGACGAGCATGGAAAACTGAGGAGGGTGCCAGCCAAGATGAGAGCCAGCGCTGTCCTCAATCAACGGCCTGGCAGAACATCTCTGCCTTGCAGGCCCTGCGAAATTGCATAAGATCCCGCAGGGCCCTGGTGGGATTAGGCAGAGAGTTCCACCAGGTTGGGGCTACGACCAAAAAGACCCCGGCCCTGGTTGAGGACAGCCGGATATCCTTAAGGCCGGGGACTACCAGCATGTTGTTGTCCAAAGGGCACAATGCCCTTCCAGGGACATAATGGAGGAAACGGTCCCATAGATACGTTGGTCCCAAGATCGCTCATGATTGGTTCTAATTCATGTTTTCCAGGACACTGAATCCATTGTTTGTTTTAACTGTGTATAATGTTATTCCAGTAAAACAGTGTTTTGTAATGTACAAAAGCTTCTGTTTATTTCTCATTTAGTAAATACAGAGCAATTTAGCCTTGCAAGACCCGAAAGTGGAAAGTCCTGCTGCCAAATTTGTAGTTTTCACATGGAACCTCGTATTCCATTATATCTTTCCATCTCCTCACACAGTGTAGTATGCATTTAACTTCAGTGTGCTCTTTGATTTCACACTATGCTTGTCATCATCAAAGTGTCCCAATTCTGTTTAAATCAAACTTGGAAGCATACAGCCAAGAACAGATTGGTTAATTCAGGCCAGTGGATTACATTTAGCCTGCTAGAACCACCACTCGCCGTTTCCTGGCAATCAATGCCCCTACAGACTTGATGGGTGACAACAGAAGCCACAGCTGGCAGAAATCCCTGTTGTACAACCATTAAAGGTACAGTAGCCCCTCCTGATCTTAAACACGGTGAGCTCTCTTCAGAACCCCTCTCCGCCCAATGTCCAGTCTTTCTTGCCTGTTTCTTCATGCCGTTTCCCCCTAAATCCACCCTGCTCTGAGTGGCTTAGCTTATTGCTCCTCGCCCTTTTTCACCTCTTGTAAAAAAGCTGTGCCAGTCCTTAGGGCCTAAATTAAATTTCATTCCTAGACTAACTTGCAGCTTGTCTTTCTCTGTACAGAAGCCAGGTTGCAAAATGTTTTCACAGCTTTGTTCCCTAAGTAGCAGCCATGTTTATGAGCAACATTCTATGCTGTCAGATCAGATTAGTGGGTGTCGGGACCGCAGAGCAATACAGCATTGATCAAGAGAAATTCTTTGCCTCTGTTGGAGTGGGGGCCAAGATTTGAACACAAAGGTACCAGTTTCAGAAGTACAACAAACACCATTTGTCTAAATCCAATCGCACATATTTAAGTACCTGATTCAGATGATTGCAGCAGTAACTGGTAACAAATATTTTTTAAAACCTGAAAATGAGCGGTGTTTCCAGCCAAAGCATGGAAGTGCAAGGAGAATTAGTATTAATGCTGAGTTCTGACTAGAAGCGATTGTACTTGTACGAACTATTCCTTTCCATGAATTGTTATTCTTAACCCTTTAGAATGCAGAAATAAAGCTAAAAAGTCATAACTGCAATATAGAGTAACACTCCTGTCTGCACAGACCCTCTGAAAGACAGAGCTTGTGGAGGAATTTGGAAGGAGATGAGTGGGGAGAGCGGGGATGGTGAACACAGGGGGGGATATAAGAAAATTAATAAAACAGGTTTTTTCATTTTGACATCCCTTCTGCTCATTGTACATTCCCATTCAGTGCAAGTTGTGGTAAAAATGACCACAACATCATCAGTGTATATCTTGTTCTTTACAAAAGATTACAAGAGAAGAGGGTGTAGTCCACCGCAGGGCAATTAATCGTTTAAAGGTTGAGAAGTCCATGGAGTCTAATAAACCTTATACTAGAATAAAATGTCAGCTTTAAGTGACCACAAGAATTCTGCTTGTTTTTGCTGCTATCGACTAATACAACTACCCCTCTGGACTTATTATCATGGGAATTGAAGTTGTAGAAGATTAAGAAGAAGAAGAAGAAGAAGAAGAGGAGGAGGAGATTGGATTTATACCCCACCCTTCACTACCCAAAGGTGTCTCAGAGCGGCTTACAAACTCCTTTCCCTTCCCCTCCCCTCCTCACAACAGACACCCTGTGAGGTAGGTGGAGTTGAGAGAGCTCTGACAGAAACTGCTCTTTTTCAAGAACAGCTGTGCCAGAGCTACAGCTTGCCCAAGGTCATCCAGCCAGGTGCAAGTGGAGGAGTGGGGAATCAAACCCCGTTCTCCCAGATAAGAGTCCGCGCACTACACCAAACTGGCTAACCCCCCCCCCCCAACATTTTATAAGTTTACTACCCCATTTTTCTGGGTCAGTTTCTCTCTCTCTCTCTCTCTCTCTCTCTCTCTCTCTCTCTCTCGCACACACACACACACACACACCCCACTGCCCTTTTCCAGTAACTTCAGAAAAGAGAACTGAAAGGCAATAGCTGCAAAATTTAACTTGTATGCAGTTGCTAGGAACAGTCCATGAAAAGTTGCAGCTGACATCAGCATTTTGGGGGTTCTTTGATTGCTGCTTTTGTGATTCTGTGGAACACCTTCAAATGGAGATGGTGTTGAACAGATCTGCAAGCAAGACTCTAAATCTAGGCAAATGACAAATTCCCACGTACAGCTTT